GTCCACCTTCCAGGAACTCATGCAGTTCCTCACGTTGGTGGAGGAGGCTGAGGAGGTCGAGAGTCAGGAGGAAATCGATAGGCTGTACTCGTGCTTGGACAAAGATAACAGTTCATCTTCCGGCTCATGTGCTCCATCAGAGAAAGGGAAGCAATCCAAGGAAACCAAGGGTGATGACAAGAAGGAGATGTTTGTTATGTTTGTCTATTATGTGCATACATTGCTTGTAGATCTCTACTTTGGTGAACTGTATGAACCTGGTTGCTTTGATTGTTGTAAATCGTAAACATGTAGGACGGCAAACGTGAAAAAAATAAGAACAAGAAGAAGAAAAATAAGACAAAGAAGAAGGCCGCAAAAGAGAAGAAGGAAAAGAACGATGCCAACAAGAAAGGAGAAGAACCAAAAGATGATCCCAAAGCACTTCAGAAAAAGGCAAAGAAGGCTAGTTGAAATTGGTACCAAACCTTGTGTAATTGATGTATACCATATTTCCAGAATTGTTGAGGCTATCAATGACGCTAGCACAAAGATCAAAGCGGCAGTTGATTTGAAGCCAAACCTGAAGAACCTGTTGGGAACCAAGAATACATTTCCTGAATGTGGCATCCACGCTGGTTGTAGTGACTAACCGGCTAAGGAGTGAGAAGTATGCCACATCTGTGGAGTCTGATTTGGATGCATCTATGAAAGGGCTGGAGGCCATAGAATTTTGGTTTGTATCCGCTGAACGCATTTAAGCCACTGCCACTGCTAGATCTTAAGTTTGCAGTAAGTGAATATATAATATAATGGTGATAAAAAATAAACAAAACACACAACATCATTGGCAGGAGGCTAGGGCACAGCTGCAAAACTCTCTCGACATGTCGCAGGCGCAAAGTTTCACATTGGGTGAACTGTATTGCTTTCCATGTATTTGTTGAGACAACTGCAAACCAACGATGCTGTAAGTTGTTGAGTTCAATTGGATCAGGTGACAGAAGCATTGGTGAGTGCCTGTGATGCTGCTCGAAAACTCGTTGACACCGCATGTGATCCCCTCAAGTCGGCCAAAAAGGCCAAAAAAACCAAAGAGGGCTGATCGACACCGGCCCCGATTTTGTTGAAGCTGCAGCAAATTGATTGTCATCCACTGAACTCATTGGTTTGGTCATTTGTCGTTGTACATTTTTTGTGTCTTATACAGCGGCCATCGGTGTGCCGGTGTGCTTACCTTGCAAGGGTATCAATGACTAGCCAGCTGCTAGTGCATTGGGGGGTGGCAAGGCTTCACATCGCGTGCTTTTGCTATGAACTGGCGACCAATTTTGATTCTAGTGTGACTCATGTGTAAATCTAAGTCTAATGAAGTCAAGGTTGTCGGAGCATAGCTGTCAATGGCCAATCTGAAGGTTCATCATCCGATTCGACGTTAGGCAACGAGCCCTTCGTGAAAAAGGTTGATCTATCTTTTGCCTATAGTGGTGGTTGTATGTTTAAGCAAAAGTTTGACTTTCTCTCGGGAGTCCTTGACGCAGGTTCAGACGATCTCGAGAACAAGAACGAAGCGTCTGAGATTGGTCCTTTGCAGAGAGATCTAGTTGAGAAATTAGCTGGAAGCGTTTCTTGGGAGCAATCGGAAAAAATGATTTCATACAAGTAGTAATATTGTGTTATCATGGAGAAAAAGACCTTGTTTGTCATACCGTTCTCTGAGGCTACTTCGGCTGAGGGGGCCATGAGTTCAATTAGAGCAGCTGCTGAGGAGATCCAAATTACTTGTTTTCACTATGCTGCTTGGTGAATCAAGTATCTTCTGCAGGAATCAAAGGGACAAATGAGTACTTGGACTGCCAAGCTGGCATCGTATTCGCGAGGCAAGAATTCGGCCAGAGACTTCTTCAGACAAACTGCTGTTCCTTTAGACTCTAGATTACATTAGTTGTGACATCTACTTCAAACCATTCGTGCCTCATCGAGTGATTGATTGTTTTTACACTTTGGTGGACCCCCAACGGGCGTCTGAGGAACCACAAATGTTGGATGTGATATTCAAAGATGGTGATCGCACCTACATGTCGCCGGTTCCTTACCTTCTTCCGGAAGATGTATTACGATATCTTATCGAGGACTGTTGTCTCACGATTGATGAAGGTCTTTGCAAGAACTTCTGGGAACATTTGGAGGCTGTAGGGGAAGAGGTTGCGGTAAGATCGAGAGAATTCAGAACATTGGATTCAAAACAGATGTGGCCCATCGGCATTCACGGAGATGAAGCATGTATGGGCCTGAACAATGCCCCATACGACAAGATCATGGGAGTTTTTCTATCATTACCATTGTTTCGACCTCGAAGCACAAGGATCTCCAGGTTTCTCCTCTTTGCATTGGAAACCGCAAAGGTGGCTGATGTGCAAAGCACGGTGAACCCGATTTTGGAGCACATCGTTGCTTCCATCAACCGTTGCACAGAATCTGGAATTGCAAACCGTCGAGTGATCCTCACTGAACTGAGGGGAGATCAATTGTGGTTTCGCTTTCTATTCAGCCATGCATCATGGTGGAAAACGGTGAATATTTGTTTTAGATGCAATGCTTCAACACGGCCCGGCCATCTCAACTATGCGAACTATGACGGGTGGTATGCAAGTAGGAAAACCACGGAGCAGTTCATGTTGGAGGAGTTGCCCATGGAAACGAGTTACTTGTTGTTCGAAACAAAGCTTTGTGTTGATGTTTTGTCTAGGGTCGTGAAGAACTTGACTGGACGGGATGGACGGAGGGGGTTGTGGAGTGAACACATCAATGATTAATATGTTCCGGGAATTCCCATGCTTTAAGCCAAGGTCCATTGGTCAACCTTCATTTCTTCACTATAGGCACTATAAAGCATTGCAGCCTACACGTATTGAACTTGGGACTATTGCATATCAGCAATGGCAGTACAATGAATCCTGTTCGCAATACTTGTATTTTGTTTGTTGCAAATACTCTGTGCAAAACAACCAAGATACGCATGTTTCTGATACTTGGATGATGGTTTGCACCGATCTAAGGGCAATGCTTCTTCACATGAATTTCTTTGGACCCGTTGCTGTGCATGGTGACCCTACAGCTTACAAGCAACCTTGTGAGGAAGCGTACCGGGACTTCTTGGCATGGAAACGTACACACAAAGTTTCGTCCTCACAGAGAAAGTTTACATTTTGGTCAGTGTTCAAAGAAGAGTATGGTTGCTACATGAACTCAAAAGGCCATAATTCCCGAGTCCTATCAGCTTGGCTAGAAGACGTTTTGGACCGAGCGACATCGATGCCACCGCCGGGCTTGCTACATGACAACCGGCTGTACACATGTGTGGTCACACTGATACCTAGTAGTCGATTAATGGAAGCATTTTGATTTTCTGTGGCAGGGTAGGAGGTAGTAGGGGTTCACCCAGGTCCAAGGTTCACGCTGCGCTCCCGTTTTCAAAGGAAAGCCGTCAACCGATACTTCCAACTGACGGAGCTGGCCTCGCGGGCGTTGTAGCTCGTCTCATTGATCATCTTGTGGCTCCCGGCATCTCTCGGCATTGTGTACTGTACTGGGATCCATGATATCGGTGTCTAGGTTGGCTAAATCAAAAATTGTTGGATTGTAAATGCCAAATCAAATCTTACACTAGATATTTGAGAATCTGCCTAGTGAGTCTACTAAAAAAGAGTTTACTTCATACTTCAGACTCTGTTCACATGTTTGCTGACCGAACCCAGGAGTGTCACACAGGCTTTCCACATAGAACAAGCTGGGAAGACCTATTTGGAGGGATATCGCCGGCTCAATGAGATGAGTAACAGGATTGTTTGGTGCAGTAAAGTGGCAAGCAAACCAAACAACTTGAAAACAAAAACATGAAACACTGGACTGTCCAGTGTTACGCAGGAGAGCTGAACTCGCCTGGCTGCTCATACCTAAATACCATGTTTCCTGGCCTGGCGTCTATGACCTATGTTTGTGCAATTTATTGTACTTGTTGTGCCACCTGCTACCTTGAGGCTTTTTCAGAGATTCTTTTGGACACAGTCAAAACAAAAAGTTCTACGGCTGCAATGGATGTCTTGCAAAGTTGCAAGTGGTATTGGAACGTTTTGGAACAAGTGTCACACATTGAGGATGCAATCCGCGGTTCCAGCACACGTTCGTTGACGAGGACCAAATGATGGTCCTTAAAGGTTGTGCGCCTAGAATCCTACTGTTGGTGTTCGTGTTTTGCGGATGTCAGCTGTCCAGCCCTTGGATCATTGAGGTTGGGCAAAACGTTCTGATCCCAAATCGAAACTGACCACCAAAGGTGGTAGGCTTCATGGAATCCTGCGCTTGGCAAGGATGCGATACTTAACTTTGAAATGGAAGTTGAAAGACGCAGTGCTCAAAAGAGACCTGTGCACTCGAATCCAGCGATGAAAACAAAACACACATTTGTCATTCTCGTGCATCTTGGGGTGGTGGTGGGGTCGAGTGAGGACTTTTTGGTGGACTCCCAGAACCACAAAAAAACTAGGAGCTAGAAAAGCCAGACGAACCACCTTGTCCATAGTAAACTTCGACATTGCGTTATGTACCAGGTTACTAGAGACGTTGGAAGGTTAGGGTATATATATATAGTCTACTATACTATAGCTGGATCTTCCAACTATACAACATGTTGCCTCTTCGTCCATAAAACAAGCCCAAAGGCAGAGATTTTGCATCGTTGGAAGATCTAGGTACGTGCCTGTTGGAAGAACTCCTACACCACGCACAACACGGTATTTACCGGTCGCGAAGCTGTGGGTTCATGTCCCAGCAATTTGCATCGGATTTGCATCGGCCTCTCCCGGAGGGGGGTCTCCAACCCTGGGAGTTCTAAGCAAAGTACAGCTCAGTTCGATAGCGTCGGATGTTCCAAGCAACAGAATCAGATGTCTAAGGCGCTCTCGTTCTTCCTCCTTGTTCGCTTTCACGCATCATGCGTGAGTGCTGAGTGCTGCGGTGAGGCCTATGGGCACTCTGCCAGGGCGCAGAAATGGCTCGATCAGCTGTGCCAAGTGGTGCCTCAGCTTAAAGCAAGACAGGAAGACAAATCTTCTTCGACACATTGTGTTTTTTGTTGTTTTTGTTCAGAACATGGAGGGGAATTGGCATTGCTGCATTTTGCAGAACACAATCATCACTATACACCCCAATGTTTCTGTTACAGAGGGTCTTCTTTGTGTTGTACCAGCTGGCCTGGCTATTTTGAGCGCTGCCAAGGAGTCTCGCATGCTAAGCAATTGGGAGGAGATTTTCAGCTGGTGGTCGTGCTGTGATATTCAATCCCATACACTCCACGGGACTGCCATATATGCCGCCCCATTGACCCCCAAACCACCCCAATGTAGGCATATATGGCATACATGGAGTGTATGGGAATGATATTCATATAACTTTAGGTTTGTCCATGCTTGTCCTTTTTACCTGTAACAGCCCTCGGTAAACAATTAGCAGTGTAATTAGAGATGCCGGCCTTCAACTGAACCATCATCATCCACTGTGACTGGCAAGTGGATGGACCCCGCATAAACATACATTATATTCAACCCTACAAGTCAAAGACCTCATTTTACTGGAGATGGTCATACAAAATCAATACTTACTGAGGTCAAAGACCAGGTTTTACTGGGTCAGACTGGACTTGTATAGGGCAAAACCGTGTTCATGGTGGGGGGCCCTGCTCTTGACTCTTGACCTTCTTCACGCACCTTTAGGGCCCCAAAACCCACCTCCCTTGGGACCGAACTCACCCGAACCAGCCCGCCCCGGCTTCTCGGCCGTCAACGCAGGAGTTCTCGGTGCATCGCAGCGATGTGCAACACAGCTTGCGCGAACTCACCGAAGCCGTCCGCCGGAAGCAGGCCGAACGCGGGCCGCCGGTCGAACCCCGCGGCACCACCGTTTCGGTGCCGCTTTGGGGTTGTTGCGCGGATCTTCTGCGGATGTCATGTTTTTGATTGTTTTTGGGAATGCGAGCCGGATTTGACCTCAGTCTTTCAACGGATTTGACGCGTGCTGGACATGAGCTGGGAATCTTCAAACGGTCACGAACGTCAGACCCAAGTGCCAGCTTCTTCAGTTCGTGACCGAACTTGGGAGTTTCATATAGTTTTCACAGGCCTAGATATACAAGTGACCGAAGCAACCAGTGGATCAAGTTCGGTATGTTCGGTCACGAATTGAAGAACCAGGTTCAGAAGATGCTGATGTTACAAGATTCCTGGAACTCAAGAGTGGGTCGGATTCTTCTTCTCTTTTGGACTCTTATGTTCCTTTTGGACGTGTTCTGTTTTTTAAAAACAGACACTGATTTTGACCCTCACAACTTGGGTGTTGGACCATAGAGTCGCCATAGAGGAACATGTAGACTAGCTGGAGTCTAGGTGGCTTCGTCGCTTCAGGAGCCACATCTGGAAGGCGAGGTGGAGAAATGCCATCGACGCTTGCAGGAGCTCTCTCAAAGCAACGAGGAGACGGCTGCCTGTGAAGTATGCCTATATATAATATTTATAGTATATCAATTAAATTGTCATATAGCGTTTGGCCTTTAAGTGGTGTTTTTCAGTTGGTCCGTTAACAGGTTCTGTGTTGGTCTTCAAGGCAGGTATACTTGATGGATCATAATGGTACATGATGATCTCACCACTCAACTTGAATGTCTAGTGAACTCAAAGCACGATCAGTATGATCAGTTGACACCGTTGAGCTATCGGTCGTTCCAATTTTGGAGAGACCTTTCATGTACCCATGTCATCTCAAAGTACCTCATTGTACAATGTTTTTTTGGGGGGGGTCATCATATCATATCATATCCCATTTTCATCCATTTTCTAGGCTACGAAGTCTAGAGAGAAGAGGGTCCAGCGGAAGAACGCCATCCCATCTCCCCCTGTCATCCCATGTAGCCTGTCATCTTCCCATCTTGCCTCGCCCCAAAACCCACAGGAGGTGATGTGCCGCCTGGGCGATCTCAAAGCCACCGTAGAGAACGGACAGCAGTCCTTGGAAGGCCCTGAAACGAAGCGAACGCCGAACACGGACGGATGCTGGGCACTCGAAGGGACAACGGGAGTGCTGGGTGACGGGACGCGTGTTGTTGGATGTCCCGAAGGGCGTTTTTCCCATGTCGAAAGAGAGCAACAAATCCAACAAGTTTGGGTGGTGGTTTCAGATATTGCTATGTTCTATAGCTTTACTTGGGATGATTGAACCTACTCTCTGATAAAATGAGTTGAAACCACGTAGTAGCTTTCTTTGGGATTTGCATGGCTTTCGTCCATTTGTTCAATGAATCCAAGCTACATTCAGCTACATTTACCCTATCATGGAGCCATTTCCAAGGTGGAATGATGGCATTTGGTGATCTGGGAATCCCAAAGATCCATCCCTATCCCTTTTTGCCAGATCCTGCACATCCGTCCGATGGATCGGATCCCATTGGAGCCGACAACGGTGGAGCCGAATTGGAGTCGCATTGGATCTGTAACAGGGAACCCCCCCCACCAATGAGCTGTGGTCTGATTGTTTTCTTGGGGGGGTCGGAACGCCTACCAGAGGTCTCCCTATTTGAGCTACACATCCGATGTTAACAGTAGGACGGACGTCTTCTTTTTGTGCTGTTTTATCCATGCTTTTGGGGCTCCCTAAAGATATAACGGTCTATGGGGAGAATCTCGCTCTGAAAACTGAAGCGAAAGCAAGCTGGTATTCCGCCCAACCGCACACCGACACCGCCCAACCGCACGCACCACGTACGGCGGGCAGGTTTGCGGTCACGCGTCTCCGTGAAGCTGCAAGAGATTGCTGCTTCCTTTGAGGAGCAGAAGAAAGAGCTTTCGAGCGTCTCTCAAGAGCTGTGCCTGGGCGCCACGAAGAATCGGTATGGGGGGTGGTGCAAAGACCCCAAAGAGGGTGATTCATGCCTATGGCATATGGCACAATGCCCACTGAAATCCAATGAGTGCAATGAAGGCCACACCCCTTTTTGAGAAAAGATATAGGGGAGAGTCTTGGGACTTCAGAATAACTCCAGGGCAGATTGAGCATGGTGTAGCAGGTGTCAGTGACCGCGGCTCAACGACCACTGATCTGTGAATTGACGTCAAATTGGTGATTTGTTTATATTGTTGAATCTGAGAATAAATATGAGAGGATCTGTGAGTACTGGTGAGAGAGATGTGACAGTTTGACCATCGAATATGGTCAGATATGTCGAAGTTTATGACAGTTGACCGAATTCATGGACGGAGGTTCCCCAATGCTCGACTCGACCGGATCTTTCTTGCAGGTTCCGAAGGCTGAGACCAACCCCCCCCCGTAGTCTGATCGAGCCGAACACATGGAGCGTGAGCAGTGTCGAAGTGTCGAAGTGGAAGGTGCCGTTTTGATGTGGTGGAAGGGAGGTGTCTACACTGCCGGTGATCCCAGAAGCGGAGACTTCTTCCTCGGGATTTGGCTTGGATGTTTGTAGTTTGTACCATCAACCAAAGGTCTTTCCCAGTCGTTCCCCAAATGTTTCTGAGCTTCAGGAGGAGGTGCCAGGAGTTTGTTACATGTCACATGTTTGTTCCCCGAAAGAATGCCAACCATATGGAGCTGGCCATTTTCATCCCTGAGATGAATCCTTCTATACAGTTCACCTGGACCGAAAAACGTCGCAGTCGGACGGCTCCTTCGCTGCATCGAGGCTGGCGGAGAGTGCCACTGCAAAGCGGCAAAGCAAAGCAGTGGCGGAGGAGTGGCGATATGTGGCGCTTAAGAGTCGGGGAAAGACTGGTGACAGCAGTGTGTGCGTGTAGAGCAAAGGCCAGCTTGGAAATGATAGCTGGACATAGATTCAGAATTGATATTCAACATATATTAAATTGAGGTGTCATGAATGGTTTATATAGAGTTTGATGATTTGATGCACAGAGCATTTTCTGAGTTTCATGCCTCTCACTTGGAACGCCAAGCTTTCACGCTTCCAAGACGCCTAATGTGGGCGTGAAAGAAAAGCATTCTCACACTAAGAGAGTAGGAACTTTTGGAGGGCGTGTCCATTTTCCACACCCAACCGTCAAGCGCACCAGCACCGGTATTTGGGAGGTGATCTCAGCACAGCACCGAACACTGGGGGTGCCTGGCTTAAAGGTCAAGGCTGTAATCATGTGAGCAATCACATGATTTGCGTCACAGTCTCACTTGTCCTAGTTTTCTTCCAATTGAGAGGATTGTCGATATCATGTCAAACACAACGAATTCGATTTGAATCTACCATAGCGGGTTCTTTCTTGTCTGAAGAATTAGCATCCAGCTTCGAGCCAAAGCCAGTCGAGCCATAGCGTTTGCAACCTTTGTCAAGGAGCTTCTCAGAAAGATGGCCGAGCTCAATCAAAAGTGCCTTGGCTGAATTCCAGTAGCAACATGTCAATGCATTTACCTGTCTCCTGCCATATCCATTGGTTTGTTTGGGATCTCCACGCAGGCTCCTTTTCATTCTTTTAGCGTGCATCAACGAAAACAGTTTCTCATGCATTGTAGACAACGACGTCTTCCAGTTTCCGTCTTCTGACGGAAGACATTCGGTTGTCCCACCGTTAGCCTTCCAATTACGTCGCTGTAGCCTTTCAATCGATCTTCCGTCCAAAAAGATCGAAACACCGCCGTGGTACTTTGGGCGTCAACTACAGGCAACTACATGTACCATGTACCCAAGTTGAGTCAAGGATGTCCATCCACTTCCTTGTCCTTACACAACCACAGGGTTCAACATGAATGTGGCTCCTGGACAAAAAAAAAAACGGTTTAGCAGCAACTGAGGTCATTGATCTGTTGAATAAACAACAGTTGTTAAGATCCCCCATGTCAGTCTCAGAAAAGGGAGCTTCCCGAAATACCATATCCATGTCCATCGCGTTTGCCTGAAACAGCCACAGACGGAATAATAATCCCTAGGGCTCCTGGCCCATCTCCTCAGGTTCGGTGGGGACTGACCCCGTGGCACCCACCCCAACCATCGAACCTCACGGAGGTGGGCCAGGAGCCCTAGGGAATATTGGAACGGTCGTTGAAAAGGTGATCCCACAAGAGTTCCAAAGGGATTGTGTTTGGATGTGTTTGGATAAAGGGCACCCCTATTCTCCAGTGAGCACCCCTTTGGAACTGCTGGACTGTTGAAGATCTTTGAAGACTGATAGATCCAGAATCCCATACTCATCATCAAAAAAAGAACATGTTCAAAGGCTTGATAGATCCATAATCCTCCCTGGGCGCCCTCCTTTTTTGTGTGTTTTCGCGTTGTTCTTGCGGGTGGTTTGTTTCTGCCACATCGGAGGCTTGGGGAGAACATGGCCTCCGTGGAAGAGGAGTCAGTCTCGCGCTTCGAGGACGGCTTCAGTCTCGCGCGTGGCTTGGAGACGACGGTCATTCGTCGGGCGTCGTTCTTCGTCCGTTTTCTGCAACTGGGGCCGGACCGAAAGCGTATAGATTCCGAAAGGAACACACGTCGTGCATGGTTCGGTGGAGGGGCATAGGGGCATCGCCCCGAAGACTTTTCCTTGTGGTGCTCCACTTCCAAGTGCAACTATAATGTAACTACCAAAGGCCCACAGATCAGTACTTTTACAAACTCGAAAAGTTCATTTTGATAGCTCATTTGGATCAACTTAGGGGCAATCTGCCCAACTGTGTGTGGTAGGAGTGGGCTTTCCTTCCAACCTCGACAAAGCCATGGATGTGTCAATATTGTGAGTGGATTGGCAATTGACTTGTTTGGTGAGTTGCCATGAGTTTTCTTCCGGATCTACCATTTGGCAGGGTCTTCGAGAAGAAGTTCAAGGCCTTGCGAACAGCTGGGCACCCAGCGAATGCCTGCACATGTTGAACAACTTGGGTGACACCTGATGAGGTGCTACACTGCATCTGACACACTTTGCATCTGACACACGCACACACAAATACACAGAATTTTCTGTGACTTGAGGTGGGAGTTTGATGGAGTTTGATTCAGATTGATTCAAGAAAATATATGAAATATCTTAAGACTTATTAAACTTTCCTCACTGAGTATCTCCAGACTTCTACGAAAACTAGGCGCGGATTGATTTGGCACTCCTTGACTTCCAGTGGACTTCCAGTGGAGACGTCCAACTCTTCGAAGTCGATTTGCTACCCAACGAAAGAATTTCATGCCCCAACCAAGTCACGGGATAATGTTCAGTGCTGCTTTTTGGGGGGGTCTGTTCGGGTGGCGATCTTGATATTTTTTTTGAAGAGTTTGACCGGGCTGATTGGGTGTTTCCAAGTATTCTCCATCCACTTGGGCTGTTTCTTGCTAAGTGCCAGTTAGTGGGCTTGGGCTGCGGCTTGATGGAAAAGGGTCACTGGATTGCCAAGATTGCCGATCGGTGTTCGATCCTTTTTGGGAGACACCGAGATGGCCATGCAACATGAAGTGTTCCAAGAGCAGACTCTGAAGATGTCCTTCATGAGTTCCATGAAGTAAGTGTTTCCATTGAGCAGGTTTTCTTACTATTTGGCTTATTAGCGGAAGTGTACCATCAATATATTATAGGTACGGGAGCCTCAGTAGATGATACCTAGCACGACCCCTCGATCCCAAAAAGGACGAACATCATTGCCCGCCAGATGAATTGAGCAGGTCCTTCAAACCACCCTCTTTGATCGCTACGAACGGGGCTCCTGGCCTTACTACTAGGAGCGATCGGACGCTACGAACGGCTCCTGAAGAAGCCGCCTCTTTGATCGTTTCTGGTCTCTACGAACCCCGGCTGGGTCCGTCATCGACGTTAGGACAGGCCAAAAAGTTCGAGGCGCTTCGGGCGTTCGGGGCGTTCGGGGTTCGGAGCGTTTGGCCCACGGCCCACAACCTGTCACGACCTGTCCTCTACCTAGCTATGGAACATGAATTCAGATCTTGATATGGGGGATTTGATTTATCAACTGTGAGCTTCCCAAGGGCTCCATCCGTTTCAAAGGTGATTGGGGTGGGTTTGAGGTGTCACACCTTCTAAGGAGGCACGACTGGAGCCCTAGAGCCTAGGGGCCTAGGGTGTCTTGTGTTGGAGTTAGCTTGGTGCCTGCTCGGAGGCCCAACTGGAGGAGAAGTGGCGCACGCTTCGCACGGAAATGCGTCTTGGCGCATGCTTCGCACGGTGTCTTCTGCAAAAGGTTTCGATGGCACGTTTCGAAGGCACATGTCCTGAACACGGACTTCTCACGCACGACCTGTCTGGAAAAAGGAAAACGGTCACCAACCCTAAACCCTAAACCGTCACCAGTCACTGGCTTCTCGGGCGTCAGTCCGTCCCGCGGTCGTCCTAGTCTGTCCCAAAACCAGACTCCGGACCAACAAGGTGTGAGCAAAGCATGTCCCTGGTAGCATGGTAGCATGTCTCTGGATTCTTCATGATTCTTCCATATTCTTCCATATGTTTTCCCATTTGCGAAAGATGTGTTGACCAAAAAGCATGCCGACATATATTATTTGACTGTTGATCAACAAAAGCTTGGACCTAACATCATGGTAGCATGAGTACGTCAATCCCAGAAGTGGTAAACTAGGGGAAATCTACCGGTATGCCCCATAGTTTTTGGTGGTGAACACCGTGAAAATCCTGAAGGTTTCACCTTTGAATGTTCTATGAGTTTCCCTTAAAAACCATGTGTGGGATCCTGTTTTTTTTTTTTTTTCGCTATTGGTGTCCAGTAGATTCCTTCCCTGAGGCGCCCATTCCGCCTGAGGCGCTCGCAGCTGGACGAAGTGGCGGAAACCACGCGCGCCGAGCTGGCGCGCGTGAAAGGCGCTGCCGTTCCCGTTCGACTCGCGCTGCCTTCCCGTCGTTTCAGTGATGTCGGTGATGGTGAACTGGAAGACGTATCCCGACGACCTGAATGGGACTGGAACAGGTACATACAGAATATATAATCGGTAATATGTGGAACTATTCGATAGGACCCCCTGTTTGGGGTGTCTATTCATAGCCCCGGAAAGAGGTGCCAGGCTGTCCATTGACCACCACTTATGGGTTCACATGGATGGTTTGCAATAAATCAACAGATCCGCATTCACACGTTTGGACGGGACGCGAGGAGGAGAAGGAGAGATCGCCGCATTCACTGCACCCCGAAACAACGACTGCGATTCGCTGCGCTTGGAAGTGACCTGTTTGCCGACGAAACTCACCTGATATACCGATTCGCTTCATGAATCTTGGTCCGATTGGTGGGGCCAAATGGGTCGGAATCCATGTTCTGCTTGTGCCACAGAAGATCTATATGAAATATCTATAGAATGTATATCGGCAGTAAACATCTTGTGTTGCACGCCACCAGGATTCAGGATTTCTTTTCCTTCATTGCATTCTTCTTGATCCAATGGTCGACCCCTTTTCGGACAGCCCCACCTCAGGGCTTCAGGACTGCACGCACGAAAAGGTCCGGTTCGAAGCAGTGGCAGGCGGGTCCAAAACTGCGCACGGGCGAGCCCGTCCACGACCCGGTCATTTTTCGACCTCTCATAGAGACCGGGTCCTCCATTTCGCAGGGGCGGAAATGGGGTTGAGGGGAACGCTGTTGAGGGGAAATGTGAAGTACCAGTGCAAATCTGGAGAGAAGATTCATGCCATCCCACCATGACTATCCCATCCAAATGGATCTAAATGGATTCAATGAGTGAACCAACGGACGAACAAGTCCTTGAATCAGAGTTTCATCACTTCCATGATCATTATTTGGTGTTGTTGAACCAGGAAAACAGCATGGACCAGCCCTAAACAATTGGTAGAAGGGAACATTGACACATATAGACTCTGAACCGATTAGGAGCAGGTTGTCCTTTTTGGACTTACTTGCGTTCACTGGAAAAAGGGCCAACTGCTGTTGTGGCCAGCTCGCAGTCTGAACCTGAACATGTCTGAACTGAGCCAAGGTGTTGCTTTGAGGTTGCCAACCTCAATGCTTGCCTGCCTGGCTTTGCTGGGTAACCCTATCTCAGACACTCTTTGTACATGCCATCTTTGCCCATCAGTTTGGTTTTGTTTGGGGTCCAATGCGCCCGTCTTCTGAGAACCCCGACCCCGCGTGGCGAGTCGAGCGTGGCGACCGCAGGTCGCGAGAGTGCCCAACGAATCGAAGCACAGCTACAAGAGCTGCGCGCAGAGCGTTTGGAAATGGAGGCACTGGGAGTCGCCTGGTGAAGTGACCCGTATTACAGTACCATACTGTAGTCTAAGGATGTCTAATGTACCTAAGTATGGGATAGTCATGGATAGTTCTTCTACCTTTGGCTGGGATGGTGGGTTGTTACAATGCAATTCCTCACCTTCTGCCTCTTGCTGGATGCTTCTGCCTGGACTGTGAAGTTTCTTTCGACCATTTTGCCTTGACCGTGCCAGCTGGTTTGCACCAGATGTCCACCATAGTGCCACAGGCACAAGGCATGCAGAACGCTGAATGGCTGAAACAAGAGATTGCCAAGGTCAAGAAGGACAAAGACATTAGACTGGAGCGGAAAGGAAGAAGAGTGACGTAGGGCTAAAACTTTCGGGCTTAGAATGGTCTTGATTGCGCATTGTAAAAGGAATGTAGCTTGGTGTGGAACCCTTCCAAGAAAAAGTGGAGTTGACCATGAGGTGCAAGGAAGCAACCCAGTTTTCGAAAGTCAAAACAAGTGGGCAAGAAAGTGCCCGACAAGCTTAAGCAGGCCAAAGGTAAACAAATATATGTGTCCAATGATGTTTTGGTATGTCTTTCCTTTGTCATGCAAAACTGCGGCAAAACTGCGGCAGTGCAAACCCTCTCACTTTGTTTCACAAAGTACTCCTTTGAAGAATGAAGAAACGCGTTGGGGATCGGTTCTGGAACCTGCGAGGATTTGGAAGAGAAAATGGCCAGAAAGGCGTGAAAGATGTGAAGCTTCATTCGACCACGTTGCATTGACTATTCCAGCTATTTTGCCCCCAGGATGGTGAAAAGCTCGAAAGCGAGCTGAAAAAGTTGATTGAACAAGTCCAAGAGGAGACAAACCGTGTGGGTCACGGCGTTGAATGCCTAGCAAAGCATCATATATCATCGCATCATCTCAAAGTTCTGCTTCGGCTTTGAGCTGAGTGTTTGCACACGGTGAGAAAAAAGACAGGCCTTGTTGGCCATTTTTTCTCAGTGTGAATGCTTTGCCATGCTTTGCCTACATCTTCATCCAGCATCAACCACCCGCTAGCCAATTTGTGAACAATTGCTAAGCCACATCCATCCAGCAACATAAAACCGCCACATTTATCTTCCATGAACTACCATTAAAATGCATTGAACCACAGTTGGAAGAGTCTCTTAGATACACGCGATCAGCAGAACATCTTTATAGTATAAAAGTTTTTGTCGGGGATGTAGTATCTAATGTTTCGAACGTGCAGCAGCGAGCCAACTGAGCTGGTTTTCCATCAGCTTGCCACGAACAAGAGAAGACTCTGCAGAGCCATATACTGGAGCCAGTACTGAGCCAGTCAAGCAGCATCAAGGTTACTTTTTTTCCCCACCTGTCAGGTGAGGGTTGTTAGATTTTACGTCAGCCCCATCTCCTCCTCCTCGTCCTCCTCCTCCGCCTCCTCCTCCGCCTCCTCCGCCTCCTCCTCGTCCTCCGCCTTTGCCTCCTCTACTGCCACCATCTGCTCCCCGTGTTGCCCGCCGGACCTCAACCGCGACTATCCACGCCCAGTGTTCCCTGCCGGACCTCAACCGCGAGCTCCAGACCCAAGTGTTCCCCACCGGACCTCAACCGCGACCATCCGCGCCCAGTGTTCCCTGCCGGACCTCAACCGCGAGCTCCAGGCCCAAGTGTTCCCTGCCGGACCTCAACCACAGCACACAACCACAACCACAATCACAAACACACAATCACAAACACAATCACAGACACACAATCACAAACACAATCACAGACACACAATCACAAACACGCAACCACAAACACAATCACAAACACAACCACAAACACAACCACAAACACAACCACAAACACCCAACCACAAACACAATCACAACACACAGCCACAAACACAACCACAGCCACAGTCACAAACACGCAATCACAAGCACACAACCACAAACACAACCACAGCCACGATCACAAACACACAATCGCAAACACACAACAACAAACAGAACCAAGCACGCAACCACAAACACAATCACAAACACACACCCACAAACACAATCACAAACACAACCACAAACACACAATCACAAACACAACCACAAACACACAATCACAAACACACAATCACAAACACACAATCACGACGACGCATCCACAGCACACAACCACAAAGACGCAACCACAGCACAGAACCACAACACACAACCACAACACGCAACCACAGCACACACAACCACCACGCACAACCGGAGGACCCAAGCAACATCGAGAACCACAAAGCTCACGACCGTGGCAACATGCTCCTCAGCATGGCTTGTAAACACATGATTGAGATGTCATGGTGGGGATCACTCGAAACAAAGTATATTTTTTTGGAGCATCATGGCCCGAAAGAATTGCACAAGTATAGGTGCACTTGCACTCCAATTGCACTCCTTTGGTTCTAAGGGTTGCTTGCCAGCCCCCACCGTGGTGGCCCAAACACTACGTACAAGCGAGAGGGGTTCCTTGTAGAACGCAATAGTTCGCAGTTGAAATTGGTGCTAAGGCTAATTAATTGTTATTTATTTCTTTGTGTCTTGCAGCCCTGCTAGGTGGTCTTTTGTTCATGGGCCCTTTCTTTGTTCTTTCGAGGACTTGAAAGATGACTTCAACCATCTTCAACCAAATCAAGCACCTGCTTTTTTGCACCTGTTGTTTCTTGCAAGGACAGTCTCAACTTCCAGTTCCAGTCATTGCAACGCAAGCGAGACCGCGCCAAAGAATTAATCAAACAAAAGAAGTACGAAGAAGCAGAACACCTTCAAAAAGAAGTGTGGCAGCTGAACCTGAAGTTCAAGGAGGCAGTTATTGCGCAAGTGTGCCGAAGCAGTTCATAGGAACATATACATTTCTCGTCCACTGCATGTCGTAAGTCATAACTCTCACGATGCCCACAGATTCACCCATCATCGACATCTCCTCAAACCAGAATGTTCCTCCAAGTACGGGACCACCCCCGGAACGTTTATATGCGACGGTCGACAGTGTATCTTCGACAATGGGTGGAAAGTTGAAACGGCTCGGTTGGCGGACATGTCCAGTCTTTGTGAGTGACTCGACAACACTATCACTGGCCCTAGCAACTACCAGAAAGTAGCGGTGCAAACAGTGGCTTTCCTAGAGGGTCACAAGGATTCCCATACATTGTTTCAATTTGTGGCTCCAAACCCTTGCTGACTAGGACGCCTAAACAAGCACTGTCCAGATATCGCGTTATCGAGTGACAGGTATGAGGTAAGCAGGGTATAGACCGGAACATGATGACCTATGTTTCCACGACAACGATAACGATTTTTGCTCACATTGTGGAGGACGACTGGTTGAGAATAGAGGCTGAGCACCAGTACGCGAGCACACTTATGTTGCAGCGGAAGTTTACAGAGGCACTACATCATCAACAGAAAGTCGTGGAAGCGGCAGAAGACAAATTCAAGGACCAAATTGTAAGCGGAACAATCGCGCTCATTTCAACAAACGACGCTACCTGCCAAAGTTTTTTGCCAGTTTCAAAAGCTACCTGCGGATCCCAACCAGATTTTTTCGATGTTTTTTTGGCTATCCAGTGAGGTGCCACAGGGGGAAGGTGAGGCCCCATGCAACCCCATGCAAGGCAGTGTTGAC